TTCATTTATCGGAATAATATCGAGAATAAAACACCTTAATTTCCAAAAAGAGTCAGCGTAATGGATTGTGAGGCTTAAAAATGATGTGCCGTTTGATGCTGTCCATAAATCAGAAGTAAATGCCATTTTCCCAGGAATTTGATGTAATGTTGTTTTAATTTCATCTTTTTTGCTCTGAAATAGCTTTATTACATGATTTTTTATTGTGTTTCTACTAGGGAATCGGTATTTCGGATCAAATTTTGAAATCATGTTTCTCCATTCTTCACTCTCTACGACGCTAAATGGTTGCATATCACAAATAATCTATCTTACAACCAAATCATTCCGTTTTTGCTGTTTATCGCTTGAATGGGGGTTTGGGTTTAAGGGCCTTTGCGGTTGTTTTGGTGCTATGATATTATGTAGTTTTAAATGGCGTCTTAATGTTGATGTTGAAGATTCTAATGAGAATACTGTTTTACATTCTTTGCAAACATGTAAACCAGGGTTATCATCTGTTTATTTATTGAAATATGGCCACACGGATGATTCTTTCTTTGCTGAACCTAATCCAAAAGAAGATGTACTCTTTAATTCATCTTGTTCACTATGACTATGTGAAGCAGAATCAGAATCATCTTCATCGGGAAGATCTGGGCTAATGTTATAGTTTTCATTTTCTTGGGCAATACTCATATTTTCAGAAGCGCAATACCTAATAATATCAAAAACTTATGAAAATAAAAAAAATATAATTAAAGGTTAAGAATCGAGGTTAGAGGAGTTATGATGTAAATCTGAATCGCGAGTATGTATAATCAAAGGTTCGAGATTAAAAATATAAATACCGATAATAAATATTTAAAAACTTTTAATTACAGAACTTTATAAATATTAAATTAAGAAAATGATTTATTGTTTAAAAAAAAAACTTTATTGATGGTTAAAATTGAGGCTTTATATACATTTCTATTATTTTGTTATTTCTATTCTATGTACTATACATATTTAATCTCATTAAAATGCTCTAGTGATCTAGTCAAAAAAATCGCACGATGATTCCTATTGTAACATAGTTGGGGCATTACGATATGCGCAAGCGTGATAGCTATCGTTTACTTATTATTTTTCACGCACATATGCGTGATAGATTGGTTATACGAAGATGATCCTTACGATCATTATCATGATAAATTATCATCCAAAAGGGATGATCGTGTTAAGTTTCGCGTGATTGTAGTTTTTATCATGCACGATAGCCCTATAGAATAAAAAATGTAAAAGTTAATGATTTTATTTCGTAAAAATCATGCTTTCAAAGTTTTGAATAATTGATAGTCTTATCTTCGTTTTAAAATTCCTAATCCAACAACCGAAAGACTCCCAAAAGTAAATCAAAGGTCGATCCAGTCAAAATGGAGAAGTCCTTAAGAAAAGTACTGATCGATTAGATCTAAGATAAAAAAAATAGTTAGTAAAAGGTAACTAGGATGAAAAACAAGAATCAAAGAAAGAACTCCTACGCTCCTAGGATAAAGACCAGAAAATATTTTGTAAAAGTCATGCTTTCAAAGTTTTGAATAATTGATAGACTTATCTTCGTTCTAAAATTCCTAATCCAACAACCGAAAGACTCCCAAAAGTAGATCAAAGGTCGATCCAATCAAAATGGAGAAGTCCTCAAGAAAAGTACTGATCGATTAGATCTAAAATAAAAAAAGTAGTTAGTAAAAGGTAACTAGGATGAAAAACAAGAATCAAAAAAAGAACTCCTACACTCCTAAAATAAAGACCAGAAAAGACCCAATCCGAAACAAAAGTTCGAAAAAGAAACAATCTAAAAAAGAAAAAGAATAAATTAATAAATATATACAAAATAAAAGAACTTGAGAAAGTTGGAAAGGTTAAAAGAGAATACTTATCTGGAAAAGGACAAGCCCAAGAGATCTCCAAATCTGATGGTTGTATAAGTCAAAAACTTAAGTCCAGTAATGAATCTGAAGCGAATTCAGCAATATACGTTCCACAAAATTAGGATCCAAAGGGTTATTGTTAAAGAATAAATAGAAAAAAAAGAAAATTTTATTGAGACTGGAACCGGTCTTGGAC